AGCTCACAGGCTCACTCATACCCTAGTCGCCTTCAGATTGATTACTGCAATGCACTCTTCAGAAGGGTTGCCCTTGAAGAGTATCTGGAAGCCTCAGCTGGTACAGAATACAATAGAGCAGGCAGCTATGTGTGTTCCTAGAACAGTGCACGTTATACCTCTGCTCCCCAAGCTTCCTTGGTTTGTGTTTTTTTAAAAATATCTATGGTTTTTATATGGGGTTTTACCTGTTTGCAGCGCAGTTCCTAGATTCGCCTTGGGGGTCATAGCAGTAGCTACTTAAATTTGAGTAATAAATACAATAAATGAATAAATTCCTAGGGAGTAGTGATTTCTGGAGAAAGTTCTAGATACCTTCTGTCTTCAGGATTTAAACTGAAGGGTGGGAAGCCAAGTAGCAGGTGTTTGCAATAAAAATTAGAACACTTGCTAGAAGCACTAAATAAAAGCAAGGATGTCTTGCCTAGGAGGCTTCCTCCAAACTTGTCTTGCTTTTTTGAAAAAGACACACGCCCTAGGATCATAGGGCTGGAAGGGGCCTTGGAGATCCTATAGTCCAACCTCCTGCTCGAGTCGGGAGTCCTTACTGTAATCCAATCTGATTTAATCTAATCTAATCTAATCCCAGTGGAAATTTTCTTTCATCAGATTGAATGAGAACTGGAAGAAGAAGTTTCTGTCCAGCTTGGATAGCTCACATTGGACTTGGGACATGGGTTCTAAGATCCTATCACGCCCCTGGTGGAGACTGACTCTGAGGGAGAGGAGGAACAGCCGACAGGGAGTGGAAGTGTGGCTCCGGAGGTTGTGGAGGAGGCTGGGGAAGGACAGAGGCCGACTCGGCAGTCAGAGGAGGACCCAGGCCCATCCCCTATCCATCCTAGGGCATAGGAGGGGGTAAGGGAAAGACGCGGTCTACTCAGAAGGAGAGGGCCTTGATCCTTTTCATGGGCTGCAGCTGTGACAACTGAATAAGAGAACAGACATGCCTACGTGCGAACGCTGGAAACAAAGCATGGAAATATCTCTAGTTTATTGTTCCTCTCTGAGTTTGGCGACCTTCCCAGTGTGTGTTCTGATATCTGTGGATGTCTTCCAGCCCTTATTTTGCCTGGTTTGTTTTTTACTCTTTATAATTTAAATGGCATTTCCTCCTTCTTGTAACTGCTTGTGTGGGAGTTTTTTTTTATCTCCAGTCAAGGATGTTTGGAGCTTGGAAGCAAAGTGAAGGAATAAAGGGGCTTCATTGTTTTCTGTGACTGTGTCTGTTTTGTATCCCACCCTGGGTCATCACAGATCCAGAAACCTACAAACTGGCTAAGTGCAGAATATCACCTAGTATCAGAGTTTAACATAGTACCAAATTAAAAAAAAAAGTGTTCAGCATTCACCTGAACTTTGCTCCCTTCCGCGTGTCTTTTCATTTATGAGCATGGAATGACCCAAGAGGTCAATTGACCTGGTTTATTAACAACAATTGGGACTTTGATTAACTGCTGTGGGAACAATTGTTATTATTACTTCTGTTATTATTACTTCTATTATTACTATTATTAGAGTGTCTTTAGGGAGGGTGCAAGACAATTATAGGGCAAAAACTGTGCCAGTTTTGTGATGCTAATCCTGTGATTATGTGCTTGCACCAGATGCCAAGATGCAAGGATGTTAGGGTGGGGTTTAAATTGTGATCCCCCAGTGCCCGTTCTATTGTTCTCCTATTATCGTGGCTTATCATTTCTCCATCTAATTTCCAGCTGGGGGAAGTCATTCTCATTTCCTTGTTTAGCTGGTGGATTCAATCTAGGACGCCCGTTGTTCAGCTCTGGTCTACTCATGCAGGATTGATTAATCCACCTCTTAAGAAAGAGGCAGACAAGACGCATTGCACAAGAGAGGACACGTTCTGCACCCCACAAACCTTGTTTCATAATTTTGATGGCCACAGGCACTGTGTTCTTCCACATTCCTTCCCAAACTTCTCCAAAACATCCTTCACCCATCTTCCTCCAAAGGTGGAATTCAGACCGGGGACGTTCCCACTGATCCATCTCAGAAGTCCTCTGTAGAAGGGGTAAGATGAGAGACAAACGATCCAGATCACAGAATAAGAGAGTTAGAAGGGGAACTTAGAACCTTCTAATCTAGCCCAATCTGCTCAAGAAGGGAAACTACATATCGTTCCAGGCAAATGGTTGTCCACTCCTCTCTTAAAAATCTCCAGTGTTGGAGCATTCACAACTTCTGGAGGCAAGTTGTTCCGCTGATTAATTGTTCTAAATGTCAGGAAATTCCTCCTTAGTTCTAAGTTGCTTCTCTCCTTGATTAGTTTCCATCCATTGCTTCTTGTCCTGCCTTCAGGTGCTTTGGAGAATAGCTTGACTCCCCCTTCTTTGGGGCAACCCCTGAGATATTGGACCACTGCTATCATGTCTCCCCTAGTCACTTCTTTTCATTAAACTAGACATACCCAGTTCCTGCAACTGTTCTTCATATGTTTTAGCCTCCAGCTCCCTAATCATATTTGTTGTTCTCTACATTCTTTCCAGAGATCTTTTTTACATTCTGGTGACCCTAACAGGCCAGGCCTGGATAAAGGAAGGAATAAAGAAATCTAGAACAAGAAGGTTGCCAGACCACTGAGATAATTAACTCCAATTCATCATTGTTTCATTTTTCTAGTCTACCAACCCTGAAATCTCCTAGTGGTGGAGAGCTTCTGGCCTTTTAGGATCAACCATCAACAGTCAAGGAAGAAGGAGACAAAATTTAAGCTGCAGACTAGCCCTTGGAAGAGCAGCCGTCAAGGCCTTGGAAAAGATAATTCAGATTACAAATATCAAAACCATGGAAGCCATGCTATTCTTTGTGACACCCTACCATTTTAGACAGATGGTTGGTTGTCCAGTCTCTTCTTAAAAACCTCCAGTGATGGAACACCGACAACTTCTGGTGGCAAGCTGTTCCACTGGTTAATTGTCCTTACTATCAGGAAATTTCTCCTTAGTTCCAGGTTGCTTCTCTTCTTGATTAGTTTCCAACCATTGTTTCTTCTCCTGCCTTCTGGTGCTTTGGAGAATAAACTGACCCCCTCCTCTTCTTTGTGGCAGCCCCTCAAATACTAGAATACTGCTATCATGTCTCCCCTAGTCAGTAGTGGGATTCAATTTTTTTTAACTACCGGTTCTGTGGGTGTGGTTTGGTGGGCGTGGCAGGGGAAGGATACTGCAAAATCCCCATTCCCTCCCCATCCCACTAACCTGCTTTCCAGCTCCGTTCTCCTGTGCAGGGCAACCAAAGAAGACCCAGCCAATCAGCTGGGACTCAATGGGAGGCAGAGGATAGGTGGGGGTGGGGCCAGTCAGAGGTGGGATTGGCCGGTTCTTCAAACTACTCAAAATTTCCACTACTGGTTCTCCAGAACTGGTCAGAACCGCCTGAAAACCACCTCTGCCTCTAGTCCTTCTTTTCTCTAGACTAGCCAAATTCAAATCCTGCAATCATTCTTCATGTGTTTCAGTCACCAGGCCCTTAATCATCTTAATTGCTCTTCTTTGCACTTTTTCCTAAGGTCCACAACATCGTTTCTATAATATGGTGACCAAAACTGGATGCTGTATTCCAGGTGTGGCCTTGCTAAGGTTTTATAAAGCAGTGCTAAATACTTCACGCGATTTTGATTCTATGCCGTTTATACAACCAAGGATTGTATTAGCTTTTTGGACTGCTGGAGCACACTAGTAAGATCTGGGTTATAGTTAGTTTACACGAATGAAAGTAAAGACGGTATACGTCTTCCAGCATAGTGTTGCAGGATCCAATCTGTGACAACTTCTGGTTCCAAGCATGAGCCCAAACGCTTGGAAGAATAAACCTTTGGTTCCGGTGACCGACTCAGATTGGATCCAGTCAATTGTTTACTTTGGAAGCAATCGATTGAAATTAACTGTTTAAGTTTCGAGAAGAAAAGAACATTTCAAAAGACAAACTGCTCCAAAGGCAAAGAAAAAAACAAACACACACCCATCCATTCCCCAATAAAAGCCCCACATCCGGCCCCGGGAAATTTGTCAGGAATGGAGAGAAAAAAAAATTCACATGGGGGTGCCATGTTCTTCCACTTACCTTCTGGACACAAGGCTGAGACAGAGGGCATTGAATGATTTTCCAGTTGGCTCTGTAATAAGCAAGGAGCTCTTCCAGACTCAGGAAGACATGAGCTTTTTCCAAGTAAAAACTTCCGGCAGGATTCGAGTAGATTCTGAAATGCCGCACTTTGCCATGGTTGCGAACTGAAGATTGAAGGAGAAGAGAACGCGATAGGATTTGGGCAGGGGTGGACTTCAAACATTTTAGCAAAGGGTTCTCTGCCCGGTTGCTGGGTGGGTGTGGTCATGGTGGGCGTGGCCTAGTTGGCCTCCTGCACCACAGCGGCGGGGAGGGGTGTTTTTGCCCTCCCCGGGCTCCGGAGGCTTTTCTTGATCTTCCAGGAGGATGAAAACGGCCTCCCCGGGCTCCGGAGGCTCTCTGGAAGCCGGAAACAGGCCCATTTCCAGCCTTCCTGAACTCCCGGGAGGCCCATTTTTTGCCCTCTCCGAGCCTCCACATGCACCCAGCACTTACCTGCATCCAAAATGGGCCATGTGGGGACTCCTGGGGGGGAAGGGAGGGGTGGGTGGGGCCAGCCAGGAGTGGGTTTTGGGGGGGTTCTCTGAACTGCACAGAATCTTAGTTAGGGGTTCTCCTGAACCCCTGCAAACTCCCAGCAGCCCATCCCTGGATTTGGGTCAACTTTGCAATTTCCTTTCCTGTAGTTTAGTAGCCACCAGCATTGTTTGTCACTCAGCTCTATGGTTTATTTTATTTTATTTTATTTTTTATTTTATTTTATTTTCCAGCTTTAGTATTCTCACCAGTAACTTAAAGTGGTGAATAAATCTAATACTCCTTCCTCCTCCTATTTTCCCCACAACGACAATGCTGTGATATCAAAAAGTAATTTGCATTACAGGTTGCATTATTAGGCGTAAGACCATTTGTTTAACAGTGAACAGCCTTGCAAAAAACAACTTGGTACTAGGTACAGTTATGACCATCATAACACCCCTGTGATCATGTCATTGCAATTTGGGCACTTGGCAACCGGCTTACATTTACAACTGGTTGCAGCACCCTGCAGTCATGTAATCACGACCACATGATTTGCTTAATGACCAACATTAGATCTTGTCATCCAACCCACTGCCTCCCAGGAATACCATTCTGGATAAATGGAACAGTTAGCCCCCATAAATTGTGGGTGTTCCTACGCTGGAGTTTTTTAAAGAAGAGACTGGACAATAGGTTGTCCAGTCTCTTCTTAAAAGTCTCCAGTGTTGGAACACCCACAATTTCTGGAGGCGAGCTCTTCCATGGATTAATTGTTCTGTCAGAAAATTTCTCTTTACTGTATTTCTAGTTTTGGGTCTCTCTTTGATAAGTTTCCACTAGTTACTTCTCACCCTACCCTTTAAGGTACTGTTGACTCCCTGTTCTCTGTGAGAGCCCCTCAAGATCCTGCTGAGATGTTAAATCCAGAACCAACTCCAGACTTTTATTCTACCTGCTTATGTAGTATTATCACTTACTGCAGCTACCATATAGACAAGACTTGCTGACATCTGGAATTTTTGCTTATATTTGAACAAAGAGACTGCAGCTTACATTCGTTATTTCTGGTCCTAGTTTCAATGACCATGAAAAAAATAATTCCTGACCATCTTCCTTATGGCACCTTTCTACCAGAGGTGGTATTCAGCAGATTCTGACCAGTTCTGGAGAACCAGTGGCGGAAAAGTTTGAGTAGTTCGGAGAACCAGTAAATCCCACCTCTGCCTAGAGATTTGACAGTATCCTTCCCCTGCCACACCCACCAAGCCACGCCCACAGAACCGGTAGTAAAAAAATTTTGAATCCCACCACTGCTTTCTACGCATCTGAGCACTGATATCATGTCTCCAATTGGTGTTCATTTCTCCAGGCTGACCCAACCAAGTTCCTTCAGCCTGACCTCCTGAGATGTCTCCAAGTCCTTGTTGTCTTCTGAATTCTCTCCAATCTGTCAATTTTCTGGAAAAGTGTCCAGAAGATGACAAACCAAAATGTGGTCTCAACAACCACAAGGACGGAAGAATAAGGATGCTGCACGTGTTTGAGAGGAAACTACATTTCCCATGATTCCCTGAGATGAATTAAGAAGGTAGAAATGCCTCTGGGGCAAAATGCTTGGAAATAATCTCTGCATGTTTTGGAATGTGCACCAACTTTTCCTTCATGGTGGATGTTGACCTAGGTTGGGAAAAACAGGGACAGATGGAAGTTGAGGCAGTGACACTACCTATTCCTTCATTCATGACATTTTTTTTTGCAACGTACTGCATGCACAACTGTCATTCAGAAGGTTTCCTTGTGTTTAGCTCAGCCATGCCAGGCAGGTGCCCTCAAGCTGTGTTGTGTTGGCACCTCTTGGAATTTCTGGCTTGGAATTCCGGGGAATTGAAGTCACCACAATTCACGGCTGCTCAGCTGTGAAAGGATGAGAATTCTGGACGGCCTGTTGCCATTGTTAGTCACTCCTAATTGTGCAAAGGCTTGGTGTGGCTTGAGGCTAGTTCATCCCTTGCTCCATCCGTATGTAGGCAGAATACCTTTGTTTATTGCATCACTTAGTGTAATTACACATAAGAGAGGGAATAGAAGTGCAATTAGTAATTAACTTTTTTAAGATCCAAATTTTCTGGAATAAATGTATCACACAGATTAGGGTGGAGGAGACACTCATTTCTTTTGTGTTGCAAATTGGAAATATTTCTTTTCAGGGTGCCTAGGGATTCCTTGCGTGGCAAATAATTCATCCTGCTTTACTGCTCAATATCCAGAGAAATTATCCAGTTGCCTGTTAGCTGTAACATGTGAGCAACTAAGGTCCTGTTTCCCTTTAATCCAGTGGTGGGATTCAATTTTTTTTACTACCTGTTCTGTGGGCGTGGCTTGGTGGGCGTGGCAGGGCAAGGATACCGTAAAATCTCCAGTCAGAGGTGGTATTTGCCGGTTCTCCAAACTACTCAAAATTTCCACTACTGGTTCTCCAAAACTGGTCAGAACCTGCTGAATGCTACCTCTGCTTTAATCCTAATGATATTAACTGCAGCCTTTCTCCCAGTTGGAGTAGACATCTTAGGTCACAGCAAATAATGAAAACATGTTGGCTGAAAAGAAAACAGAAAAATAGAAAAAGAAAGAGAAAGAAGGTTTGAAAGAAAGAACTTGAGGAAGGAAGGAAGGAAGGAAGGAAGGAAGGAAGGAAGGAAGGAAGGAAGGAATTGAAACACATTGTAGGTTGGACCGAGTTGTGCAAAGCACAAATGTTTGCAGTCCAAGAACAACTTCATTTGCACACATTTGCCCTTCCACTCCCCAATCCCTCAAAAGTTGCCTGACTACAATTCACAATAGACTTAGCTCTTGCTAACCAGAAATGTTGAGCAGTAAAAATAGCTGCCCTGCCTGTAACTGATCCAAATCCTTTCACAAAACGATCACCAGCACCCCCTAACAAAAGGCAAAACTCTGCATTAAAGGAAAGCAAAATAAATGACTAGAGTCTGCCTCCACCTCCACTCCTACGTCCTCATTCTGCCTGGTGTTGATTGGCCTGGCTGCAAAATATCCCAGTGGTTTCTATGGGAGGGAGGAGAGAGACACAAAGCTACCATGCCACCTTTCTTATTGGAAGACCTGCTTCTGCTGATGGGAAATATGAGTGGGAGGCCAGGCAAACTGCAAAAACGAGTAATTGAATTGCCTTACAAGATTTACCAGAGTCTGATTGTCTTCAAAACAAACTAATTTTACAGTGTTTGATACCACTGACAATTAAGGAGAATGGTGTTGGCTTCACAAGGGCCATCTAATCTAACTTCCCTTGCTCAGTTCAAAATACATTAACCCATTTTTTTTTCCTTCTTTGGAAACTTTTTAAGAGGAGTTGGACTCCAAATCCTGAAATCCCCCGCCAGTCCTAAAGATAGTCCCTTCCCTGCCTCTATTTGAAGTACAGTCAGGGAAATCCATTTCTGCACAGGGCAGAAAGCTCCAGATCATTCTTAATGTGGGGCCCTTGGTGCTGTCTGAGTTTGGTTGTTTTCTTGCAGATGTTTTCATTATCCAGCTAGAGACCAAATTCCACTCCTTTCTGGCATTGATTAGGTTACCTACCGTAGTTGGGTAATGAAGTATCTTCAGGAAAAGAACCAAGAACCCTCAGTTCTTCCTCTTTCCTACTTTCCCCTTCCTCCTCCTCCTAAACTCCACTCCCTTCTAGCATTGATGAAGTTACATATTTGGGTAATGAAACACCTGCAAAAACAAAACAAAACCCACCAAGCTCAGAGAGCACCAAAGACCCCACAGTCCAACTCTTAAGCATCTCTTCTACCGATTGAGTTTTACAGCCAGGACCCAATTTTAGCCAAGCTGGTATCCATGATGGCGTGAAACTCTACCTGTTTTTAAGCATGTTAAAAGATCTTTGATTGTATTATCAGCCCCACCATCTTGATTTTTTTGGGGACCATGGCTTGGTTTGATGATACCATCACAATCACCATCCTGACTAGGTTGACCATGTGAACATCTCTGCTGGCAAGAAATAAGGAGGAAGAATCCAGCTTGATCTTCAACTTGGTAGGCCCAAATCCAATTAATCTTAAAAACAATTCACCTTTGGAGGTCAACTATGATAAAGAGGTCTACCCGTGGCATATGAGGAGTAAGATGTAGTTTACCTGACAGAGAATATTCTCCCTTGTTACTCTCGCTGTCTCGAATAAGGAAGGAGCCGTGGTGATTTGGGGGAGAGAGAAGGAGCTGGTTGGCTTTATTTCTTGTGATTCCATTTATGTACCAGCTGAGAAGAAAAGAGATGAGAGCCGATTAAACTATAAGCCAACCTTTCAGTTGTCTTCAGTACAAGTCCTAAGGAAAGAAACACATTTCAAACTTCTAAGTCATGTCCAGGGCAGCCCAGAAGTGTTTTCGGTTGTTCCAGATTTTTTAAAAAAATTGTTTGAATTTTGTTTAAAAATATTTACACAGCATTGGTACACTGGAACATGCCCATGAGGCTTGAAACGTGATGTTTCCACCATGCTTATCCTTTACATAAACAATGAAATTCCATCCTCCCTGGCAGAACAGTGATTCATTATTTTGGCTTGTCATGCACTGAAATTTATCTGGAACATTTTCAAGTTCAGGAAAAGACCAGTTCTGCTCATACCATCCCCCTGAGACTTTGTCCAGATATTTCCATATTTTAACCATGATTTAATTTGATGACTATAATTTAAAAGGTATAGCGATTTCTTATTTGCAATGTGTTTTTTTTTCCTGGCCCTCACATAGGTGAGGGATCCTTGGTGCTTTCTGAGCTTGGTGGTTTTCTTGCAGATGTTTCATTACTTAAATTAGGTAACATCAGTGGTAGGTAACATCACCAGCACTGACGATGTTACCTAGTTTAGGTAATGAAACGTTGGCAAGAAAACTGACAAGCTCAGAGAGTAGCAAGAATCCCTCATTTCAACCCTGAGTTACAATCATTCTCCTTTATTGGCATCAAGTATGTGTCACAAAGCTAGATTTGGTGGGAATTGAATTATACAAGATTCAATCTCAGATTTTCTGTTGTAGTTACAATATCAAAGCAGAGGTTGGATGATGTTATAAAAGGCTAAAGACTGACAGGTCTGGCTCCTAGTGACTTCCATGGACACATCTTACCTGCAGTCTTAGTATAGCTTTGGAGATCTCCCATCCAAACTTTAGGTAGGTGTGGCTCCACTAATTCAAATGTGCAGGTGGTAGCTGGCTCAATAGTAGTAATTGTAAGAGGGATCTTGGATTGTCCAGGTGGATAATCACTTAAATAGGAGCCAGCAGTGTGCTGCAGCTGCCAAAAAAGCCAATTCAGTCCTATGTTGCATTAACAGAGGGATAGAATCAAGATAATGTGAAGTACTAGTCCTGCTTTATAAAACTTTAGTAAGACCACACCTGGAATACTGCATCCAGTTTTGGTCACAATATTATAAAAAAAAGATGTTGAGACTTTGGAAAGAGTGCAGAGAAGAGCAACAACGATGATTAGGGAGCTGGAGGTTAAAACATATGAAGAACACTTGCAGGAATTGGGTATGTCTAGTTTAATGAAAAGAAGGGCTGGAGGGGGACAATGCAGCAGTGTCCCAATATTTGAGGTGCTTCCACAAAGAAGAGGGGGTCAACCTATTTTCCAAAGCACTAGTAGGCAAGACTAGAAACAAAGGATGGGAACTAACCAAGGACAAAAGCAACCCAGAACTAAGGACAAACCGAACAATTAATCAGTGGAATGGCTTGCCTCCAGAAATTGTAAGAGCTCTATCACTAGAAGTTTTTAAGAAGAGTTTGGACAACCATTGGTCTGAAATGGTATAGGGTCTCCTGCTTGAGCAGGGGGTTGGACTAGAAGACCTCCAAGGTCCCTTCCAATTATATTGTTCTGTTCTTTTCTGTTCTAACAAGATCCACTAGGAAGCTTCCACCATCTTTGGTGGGTTAAAATGACGATGCTATAAACGCTATTTCTCCCTATAACAAATGGGGGGAAGTGGGGTCAGAACAAAGCATATTCCAATGAGCAGTTACAGGCATGGAAAGTTTTAAGCCAGTCTTCTTCATCAAAAGAAAAAGAGCTCCAAGATAGGTGTCTACTCTCAAAACCTCACTGAAATAATTAGCCTTTCTTCTGTTTTAGTTTCCTGCAGGATCAGTCTTGTTTAAAGCTTTTGGTTAAGTAAAGGTGTCTTGACATGTGCTGGAAAGAAAGAACCTCTTCAGTGAGGGCTGAATTTTTATTCTTCCAACTTTCTCACTCTTCCAACTGCAGTTATTGCTATTGTTGTTATTGCTTCCAGCAACATTTCTGCACAATTGATTTTCTTATCCCTTCCACACCCAAGGCCACTATACAACCAGTGGTGAGATTCAGCCGGTTTGTACTGGTTCATGCAAACCAGTTGTTAAATTACACACACACACACACCACTATCAAAGTGGATCCTGGGCCCTGTGCTGCAATGGAGAAACGGGCAACAGAGCAGCTGGCATGAGGGAAAGAGGAGGCCACTTTCTTCTCCCTGCTCCTCCTCTTTCCCTTGTGCCAGCCGCTCTGTCGCCTGTTTCTTCATTGCAGCGCAGCACCCAGGACCCACTTTGATAATGGGAGGTGGGTAATTGAACGACCAGTTCACTCAGGGTCAGGTTGGCCATCACAGGAGGCTTGTCCTGCATATGTGGAGAAGCTGGAGGACCGGGATGGGCCACGCCTCCCACAACAGCCAACCTGACCCTGGGCAAACCTGTTGTTAAATTATTTGTAATTTGGTATGTGGCTTGTGCAACCTTTATGCAAACTCCTGCTTTGTATCTATGGAAACTCTCCGTCATCCAGGTCATGGTTGTCCCAAAGGTGCTTTCTTCAAGAGGCAACTGGACTTTCTTGTTTTTTCTTTGAAGATGTTTTGCTTCTCATCCAAGAAGCTTCTTCAGCCCTTGACTGGGTGGTGGGGAAGTGGAAGGATTTATGTGGAGCCACCAAAAAAAGCACCTTTGAGACAATTTCCTACTTTGGTATCCAAGTAAATTTCCACTTCCTATTTGCTCTGCCTCTTGTTCTTCTTGGCTTCAGACCCATAAAACCCCAACCGTTCAAATGTTCTAAATCAAGAGTCTTCAAACTTGGCTTGTGGACACCAACTCCCAGAATTCCTGAGCTAACATGACTAGAGGAGGAATTCTGGGAGTTTAAGTCCACAAGTCTTAAAGCCATCAAGTTTGAAGACCCCTGATCTAAACTCTCTTTGCATATTGGAGAGTCTGAAGCTCCTGGGAACGGACTCCTCCCTGTAGTAAGGGTTGCATCATGGATACCCTGAAATAATGAAGGTATGTCAGAAGATCCAGACCAAGTGATTCACACCTCTGTGATCTTCCACCTGGTCCATCAACAGACAATGGTAAAAGCTTTCCCAGAAGTGAAGGTGATGGAATGAAACATCAAAGGAGGATTAAGGAAGCCCCATCAGATCTCCAGCTTGGAGCTAAGAACGTTCTGGAAGAAGGATAGATCTTATAGAAGGGAATGGAAGATGATCTTGGATTGAAGACCTCTCTTCTTCGTTCCATAAATGGGGCAGAGGGATCTGAAAGCACCATAGAACTGCATAAAGCACCATTCTGACCCCACGTTTTTTCTTTAGGTATGTGGGAAACAAAAAATATAGGCTATTGATTTATCAGATTCAACAAGGCCTTTGGATGATAGCAGGCCCCAGAATAAAGAGACATGAACCAAAGTTTTAGATAGGATGATTTCAAAATGTACCAGAACTACTTGTAATCCTGCTGAACCGTTGCTAATTGTGAAACATGATTTTGCAAAGTATGTAGTTTTATAAATATAATTGGACATAGAAGGACAAAACCACGAGAAATAAGGAACTGAAAGTAGCTGGGGGAAGAAGGTTTGAGATGTACACAGGTATATGTGAAGACTGCCTGTCTGTAAGTAAGAACAAGGAAGTAAGTTGTGAAATGCGTGCAGAAAAGTATAAAAAGAACGTCTTGGGGTGTATTCAGGGCCACTGGCCATGGCTACTCCTTGCCAGATTCAGCCATGTCCATTGTTCTGACCCAGGCTTCGTCAAACGTAATTAATCACAAACTTGTTTTAAAAGCAAAACCTATTTTATTGCAACACTGGGAATTGTTTTCATTCCCAGCCCGAACTAATCTTAAACAGTCCCCCAAGATAAGCACACACCTTTCAGTGCTGTGGAATGCTGCCAAAAACAGAAGTATCCAAGTAATTATAACAGAAACCAACCGAAGTATAAGAAAAAAAAAAAACTAAATACACAGAGCATGAGGATGACTTGGAACCGATCGAACTACTTTGCTTCCTGCAAACTTTTATCCCTTACTTCTCCCAGGTAAACCTCCCAGCCTTACTTCTGAGTCGCCCCTTTTGTTTCAGCTGCTCTTGCCTTCTAGCAGCTCTATGCACACACACACTGGGAACAGGCTCCCCTTGTTCCTCTGCCTCGCTGCTGCCAGACTCCGAAAGCAGCACCCCACTCCCAGATGGTCCTGGCCCCATCCCTACATTGGATGCAGGACCCTCATCCGAGTCCTCTCCAGGCTCCCTGACTGGTCCCTGTTATGAACTAATAAAAACTATTTAATAAAACTTATCAACCGCATGATAAGCAGGCTTGTAATCCTGCACCTTTGATTGGCCCATGGATAGCGAACAGGGATTGGTCCTTACGGAGCAGCCTGATTGGCTATTAGTTGAACATCTCTCATTGGGCAAAAGTTAAGCAATTAGACACAAGTCATTGGTTAACGGGTCAGCAGCCAGCTCTATAAAAGAGCTGCTGCTGCTCAAGGTTTTTACGCTCTGTTCCTAATCCTTAATAAAGAGTTGAAGTTCACTAGTTCTCTGACTCGTCTCCGTTCCTTGCACCCATGCCCAGAGTATAACAGTCCCCTTTCTTCCTCACTGTCTGAGTCCGCTGCCGTTTGCACTGGTTGCCGGCGAACCACAACATCAGGGGACCTCATTGCAATGAGTTATTGATGTAAGTTGTGTTATGATGGCTATTCATGTTCCAAATTGCTCATGAAATAAAACCTCTGAATCTTGAAGTAAGAATTGTTTTTTTTGTATTGCTGTTTCCTGTTCCTCTTTATTGGGATATTTTTTTATAACAAGTAGAACAAGCCAAGCCAGGCAGAAGATGTTAGTACCACTTTATAATGCCTCAGTAAGACCACACTTGGAATATTGCATCCAATTTTGGT